GTCGTTCTTGTTGTTTGGCATCTTTTATTAACTTGTCTTCTAGTTTGTTCATCACAATTAAGATCTCCCAATCACATGTGCTTCTGCTCCTGGTTGGATTTCTGGTTTGTACAATATTTCTCAACTTTGTAAAAGTAGATCTGTAATCTTACCTCCTATTTCTTTCTGGACTGCTAATGTTTAACCTCTCCCTCCTATTTTATTTCAACAATTTGTGATCTGTTTGTAGGGCCATGTTAAATTCCAGACCCTCTGTTTGAGATTATAGCACATTTTCTTGATTTCTATCTGTGTACTTCATGTTCTCAATTCATGGACCTAACCTCCTGCCCCTCATCTTGTACATGCATCCAGCTTCTGTATTTTCCAGTGGTCTTCCCTGCTCTATGCATAACAGTTGCATTTCTCCATTGATTAGCTTTTTGTGGTAAATATTTGACTTTAGTATCCATTTTTGGCATTTCTGCTTTAGAACCAATGACCTCAAATTAACATCAGAATCGATCATCAGGCAAACTGTTGATTTTGGAAGCAGATCATCATAACTGTACAACAATTGGTAATGAGCAGTCCCCAGCTCTTGTCTACTTTCTATAATTCCTTCAGTGATCCAAGCCATGGTCCTATCCACTTTTCCATTACATTATCCACAAATATTTTCTTACCTTTACAATGTATTATTGTTGAATGATAAAATCCGGTTGCCAAATCTACAAAATGTAAAATAAAAATGATTTTTTTCTTTATTCCCACACGTTTAAATCCACTGCCAATACCTTTTGAAATCTCTTGCCAATGGTAGATTTACTGCCACCTATGATCTAAATCTAGACGGTCCCGCCAATCTGTTAACACTGTTTCCTTCATTTTCTGTCATATTGCCAACTGCCACATTGTGCTACAAATCTGCTGGCAATGATTACTTTCCTAGGAATGTTTTTAGTGCTTCTGGCATTGAGTCATAGAATCATACAGTACGGAAACAGACCCTTTGGTCCAACTCAACTGTGCCAACCAGATTTCCCAAACTGATCTAGTCCCATTTGCCAGGATTTGGCCCATATCCCTCTAAACCCTTCCTATTCATGTACCCGTTCAAATACCTTTTAAATGTTGTAATTGTACCATTTTCCGCCACTTCCTCTGGCAGATTATTGCATACACGCACCACCCCTGTGTTAAAAAGTTACCCCTCAGGTCCTTTTTATATCTTTCCCCTCTCACGTTAAACCTATACTTCTAGTTTTGGACTTCCCCATCCTGGGAAAAAGACCCTATTCACTCTATCCGTGCCCCTCATAATTTTGTAAACCTTAATAAGGTCAGTCCTCAGCTTCTGACGCTCCAAGGAAAATAGCCCCAACATATTCAGCCTCTCCCTAAAACTCAAACTCTCCAACCCCAGCAACATCTTTATAAATCCTTTCTGCAGCTTCTCAAGTTGAACAACATCCTTCCAATAGCAGAGAGACCAGAACTGAATGCAGTATGCCAGAAGTGGTTTCACCAGTGTCCTGTACAGCCACAACATAACACCCCAACTCCTGTCCTCAATGTTCTGACCAATGAAAACAAGTGTGCCAAACGCCTTCTTCACCGCCCTGTCTACCTGTGATTTCACTTTCAAGGAACTGTGCACCTGCACCCCTAGGTCTCTTTGTTCGGCAACACTCCCTACAACCCTACCATTAACAATATAAGTCCTGCCCTGGTTTGCCTTACCGAAATACAACACCTCACGTTTATCCAAATTAAACTCCATTTGCCCATTGTCGTATCTGGTCCCAAAGGTCCAGTTGTACTCTCATATTATCTTCTTCACTCTCCACTACACTGCCTATTTTGGTGTCATCTGCAAACTTACTAACCATATCTCCTATATTCATATCCAAATCATTTATATAAATGACAAAAAGCAGTGAACCCAGCACCAATCCTTGTGGCACACCGCTAGCCTCCAGTCCGAAAAATCCCCTCCACTACTATCCTCTGTCTCCCTCTTTCAAGCTAATTTTGTATCCAATTGGCTAGCTGCCCCAGGTTCCCATGCGGTTTAACCTTACTAACTAGTCCACCATGCGGGACCTTGGTGAACACTTTTTTGAAGTCCATGTAGACAACATCTTCCACTCTGCCTCCATCATTTTTCTTTGTCACCTCTTCAAAAAACTCAATCACATTAATGTGACATGATATCCCACACACGAAGCCATGCTGACTATCCCTTATCAGTCCTTTCCTTTCCAAATGGATGCGAATCATATCCCACAGAATCCCCTCCAACAACTTACCGACCACTGATGTCAGGCTCGCAGGTCTATAATTCCCTGGCTTTTTGTTAAAGCCTTTCATAATTAATGGCACCTCCAGTCTTTTGGCACCTCACTTCTGGATATCAATGATACAAATATTTCAGCAAGGGGCCCAGCAACCTTTTCTTTAGCTTCCCACAAAGTTCTGGAAAACTCTTGATCAGGTCCGGGGATTAACCTACCCCAATACATTTTAAGATCTCCAGCACCTCGGTAATGTGAACTCTTTTCAAGATATCATTATTTATTTCCCCAAGTTCCTTAGCTCCCATGTCCTTCTCCACAGTAAGCACTGACACAAAATATTCATTTAGAATCTGAACCATATCCTGGAGTTCCACACATGGATGGCCTTGTTGATCTTTAAAGGTGATCTATTCTCTCCCTAGTTACTGTTTTGCTCTTGACATATTTATGGATTCTCCTTAACTCCATTTGTTAAAGCTATTTTATGTCCCATTTTTGCCTTCCTGATTTCCCTCTTAAGTATGCTCCTACTGTCATTATACATTTCTAGGGATGCTCTCGATCCCAGCTATCTATACCTGATATATGCCTGCTTCTTTTTCTTGACCAGAGCCTCAATTTCTCTTAGAGATAGTAGGAACTGCCGATGCTGGAGTCTGAGATAACAAGGTGTGGAGCTGGAGGAACACAGCAAGCCATGCAGCATCAGAGGAGCAGAAAAGCTGGCATTTTGGGTCTGGAACCTTCTTCAGAAATGGGAGAGGGGAAGGGGGCTCTGAAATAAATAGTGGGGGGCAGTGATAGACGGTGGATAGTGGAGCGGACAGGTGGGAGAGAAGACAGACAGGTCAAGGAGGCGGGGATGAAGCTAGTAAAGGTGAGTGTAGGTAGGAAGTGGGGATGGGGGTTGGTTAGTGAGGAGGGAGGGGCAGATAGGTGGGAGAGAAGAGGGACAGGTCAAGAAGTTGTGGATGAGAGGGGGGGCTAGTGTTGGGATGAGGTCGGGGGTGGGGAGATTTTGAAGCTTGTAAAGTCCACATTGAGACCATTGGGTTATAGGCTTCCAAGGCGGAATAAGAGGTGCTGTTCCTCCAGTTTCCGGTTGGCATCGTTGTGACACTGGAGGAGGCCCAGGATGGACGTGTTGTCCAGGGAGTTGGGGGGGGAGTTGAAGTGGTTCACGACGGGGAGGTGTTGTCATTTGTCACGGTCTCCGCTTTGTGGAGCACCTACGCTCGGTTCTCTCCCCCTATTGACTGTATCAACCTCATCATTTTCTCACTGTTGGTTTGGTTCCCACCATCACCCCCTTACTAGTTAAAGCCTCCCAAGTAACACTAGCAAATTTTCCCACAAGGATATTGGTTCCTTTTGATTTCACACACAACCCATCCCTCTTGTACAAGTCATTTCTGGCTCTGAAGCGCTCCCAATGGTCCAAAAATGTGAATCCTTGCACCCTGCACCAGCTCCTCAGACACACATTCATCCACTCTAACCTCTTATTCCAACTCTTACTAACACATGGCACTGATAGTAATCCAGATATTACTACCCTCAAGGACCTACTTTTTAACCTCCTGTCAAATTTCATATATTCTCTCTGCAAAACATTATCCCTTTCCATACCTAGTGATGGGTAATCATACCCTGAACTTTTACATTTTGACTCAAGCATCCTCTTTGGAGAATAACCAGTGTTATACTCCAAACAATAACTGCTTTTAAGCAGAATTCAGCTCAACAGTTTTGTAAGATTTTTATTTCAGTTAGCCACTTGAAACTGCCCACCACTCAAAACCAGTTGCTCATATTTATACAAACAATTCAAACCCAATTAACTCTTCATTCAGATATCCACCACTTTTCCCCTTATTCCACTGGGTCTCAGGCTTTCCTTCAGACTACATTAGATGATAATTCAACCACACACTGACACATGGCAAATATTTCCTGCAGCAATAGACACTTGTTAAGTGGTGCAACAAATTTGTCAATGAGTCTCCAACTGACCAGAAAAAACTCAAGCAAAAGATCATTTTGACAGCTGGGTCAGGTCATGGATAAGATTAATGCATTTGGATGAATCTATGTTTGACATAAGTTAGGGGCAGCACAGTGTCTCAGTGGTTAGCACTGCTGTCTCACAGCACCAGTGACCTGGGTTCAATTCCACCATTAGATGATTGTACAAACTGCACACACACATCCTCCCCATGTCTGTGTGGGTTTCCTCCGGCTGCTCCAGTTTCAGGTCCAAAGTTATGTGGGTTGGCTGGATTGGCCGTGACAAATGCAGGTTCAGATGGCTTGGTGCAGTGCTCTTCAGAGGGTCAGTGTGAACTCAACGGGCCGAGCGGCCTACTATCACTGTAATGACTCTATGACACCCTTCTGATAAAGCCAGATCCTACTCACAACATAGTGACCGGCAATTTGTACAGGGCAAGCAAAAAAAGTCCCAAATTCACTTCAGTTGGGATTGGGATCAAATCCCCTGCTACTGGCACCAAGCTGACCCAGACCCCAAGCCAAGCGAATTGACTGCTTCCCCCCCATCCCTGAGGAGTCTACAAACTACTGTGGCAACATACACTTCTAATGCATGTTGTATCCTGGAACTATGAATAATGACAGTAGAAGCTGTAATTTCCTTACCAGAAATCTCTCCTACTCTTACCTTCTGCCACTTCCAGATGTGGGAAGGATTTACAAATTTACCTGTAATCTGATGGCCATGTTATGAATGCATTTGACTTGCTGATTTGAATCCAGAATTCCGGGTCATTGCTCTACAAGCCCTCCTCTTTGCGATCCTGTTAAAATATAAAAATAATCTGACTTAAACAAGCAATTTCTAATTTATAATTTCACAAAATGCTTCCAAATAATTGATATTTCATTAAAAAGTTTTTAAACATCTCCGTTTCTCATACAGTCCTGTAACTGTACTATTATCTTTAAGGTAAAGGGTTGAAGATCTTTTGGCTGGAGAGTACTGTACGTTGGTAATCTTCTTTAACTGATCATTAGCAATTTCATCAGATGAGATTAATCGCACACGAGCTTTGCTACTGCCTGAACTTCAGTCCTCGCCAAGTCACAGTTGGAGCGAAAGAGAATCTGTGAAATGAGCTGTGTACATTCAAATTGACTGAGGCTGTGAACCAGACTCAGGGGCTGTTTGCATTTCAGAAAATCTAGAGGAAACGTGCTGATGCAAAATATATAATTTCCTGGGCAAAGTCATCATGGGAAGTCACCATGAAAATACCACATTTCATTTGCAACCAGCTGGCAACTGTCACTGTCTGTATCTCCACAACTGAGCAGCTGTCACAACTATCACAGTGTGGTGTAAACTGCCTCCCACCAATTCCAAACACTACTAGTTTAACATTTATTCCTTGACATAATTTCTCATGTCTTTATAGCTGTATTTTCCTGGGAATGCCATGTGTTTTTATCTAATGTCCTTGCTCACCAAGACTGGAAAAGTTCTTCCAGTCACTTGCCGATGCCCTGTGCAGAACCTCCTATAATTCTGTTACGTCTTTTGTTTTCTAGTTCAATCAAAATTCTTGCGCGTTTATTCTTCAAGAATCAGGCAGCTGCAGCTCACAACAGGCACTAGGGATGTTTTATGACATCAAGTATTAACAGCACCTGTCCCTACACCACTACAGAGCCTAACAACCAGCCTTGGAACTTGGTATGGCTTAATTAAAAAAAACACAGAGCTCTGAGAATAGAGTAATGCAGTATGGAAACAGGCCCTTCGGCCCAAACTGGTCCATGCTGACTATGGTGCCCACTCAGCTAATTCCAATTGCCTGCATTTGGACTATATCCTTCTAAACCCTTTCCATCCATGTACCTGTCCAAATGTTTTTTTAATTGTTGCGATTGTACCTGCCTCAATCACTTTCTCTGGCAGCCCATTCCATATACGCACCACTCTCTGCGTGAAGAAGTTGCCCCTCAGGTCCTTCTTAAATCTTCTCCCTCTTACCTTAAAAGTGATCACCTGGAACTCTAGGAATGCTCAGTGGTTCACAAAACATGCAAAGTTACTCATGTGTCTCCCGTCTCATCACACTTCAGCCAGGATGGGGCTCAGTATTCAGTGATTTCTGTAGGATCAGTTCTGGAGCTTTGAAGCTGACTAACACACTAGCACTATACAAAGTCAAGATCTTCATACAAGAGAGTGTAGAAGAATGAGGGATAATCTTATTGAAATATACAAGATTTTGTGAGGGCTTGAAAGGGTGGAACTTAGAAGATATTTCCATTAGTGGAAGAATCTTGAACAAGGGGACAGAGCTACAGAATAAGGGGACATTCATTTAGAACTGAAATGTAAAGGACTTTCTTCTCCCAGAACAGTGAATGTCTGGATTTCTCTACCCCAGAGACTTGTGGAGGCTACAGCACTTAATGTATTTAAAAAGGAGGTAGATAGATTTAAGAAATATCAAGGAGTTTACTGCTACACTGAACTGGCAGGAAAGAGGAATTGGGGCCTGGGACAAGCTTGAGGGGCTGAATCACCTACTCCTTTTCCTATCTCTTGTGTTCTAAGTGTTGAATCAGATCCAGTTTTATAAATGCCTAAAAGGAGAAGCTCTGAAAGGAGCTATCAGAGTATCTTTGCAGGATTCCACCAGGATAAATCACAGCTCCGATAGACCTGTTGGAACTTATAGAAGGCTGCAATGGAATCTAAATATGCCATTGGTAGGTTTTGGCTCTTTTCAGCCTATTGTATTTTGGCAGAAAGTTCCCCGGAAAACCGCAAGCATTGACATTTTGATTTAATCCGGACAACATTAGATTTGCCAGAACCCCCACCCCATTGGAATACCAACATAATTGGGTTTTCCTTTTTCTCCCCACACCCCCTCCGCCCCCTGTCACCACCAACCCCCACCCCACCCCACCATCCCTCCTTCTTATGTCGAATCAACATGTGAGACATGTGCAAAGTCAAGATTTTGGGCCTAAGACTTTTAGAATTGAGGCACTGGACGGACAGGAGCCAATTGGACAGAAGAAAGAGTAGTATGTGGAGAAATGGGAAAAAATAAGGGCCAGGGAGCAGAGTATTGGAATAATCAGGACTTTCACTCACCAAGGTTCAATTAAATTTGTCCACCCAATTTTAATTTGATTCTGATTAAAACATACAAAATCCACAAGAATTCTTTTCAGCAAAGCCCCATAACTAAAAGCATAAGTTCCCCAATGAATGCCATTAAGTAAATGGCTTCTTTAGTAAACGTTGGAAGGTGATTGAGTTTTACATGCACTAGCACAGTTGTCTATCAAGCACAAAGAACATTAAGTTCTAAATCAATAATCCTGGAATGAACTGAAAAGATGAGATTTTGAAAACAAACTGAATACTGAACATGTCAAACGGATTGAGCCAAAACAATTGATGAAATGTTGATTCTGAGTTCAGACTCAGCTATTCCAATGTTGTCCCATCTGATCACCCAACCTCTATCTCCATAAACGTAAGCTCATTCAGATTGAAGTCCTTATCCTACTTGCACCAAGTCCTGTTCATCTGTTCGTTCAACACTGTTGGCTCCTGGTCAACTAAATGTTTCAATTTGAGAGGTCAGGTCTTTTTGCTTACTATCCCTCCGTTGCAATGCTCAAAGTACACAGTGTCAGAATCATAAAGAGATATGGAAACAGACCTTTTGATCTAACCAGACCATGCAAACCAAGTTTCCCAAACCAAACTAGTCCCACCTGTCTGTATTTGGCCCATATCCCTCCAAACCTTTCTTTCTTATGTAAGTATTTTTTGAAATTCATTCATGGGTTGTGGGAGTCGCTGACTAGATCAGCATTTATTGCCCATCCCTAATTGCCCAGAGGGCAGTTAAGAGTCAATCACATTGCTGTGGATCTGGAGTCACATGTAGGTCAGACCAGGTAAGGATGGCAGTTTCCTCCCCATAGAGGGACATATGTGAACCAGATGCATTTTCCCAATAATCAACAATGGGTTCATGGTCATCATTAGACTCTTAAATTCCAGACTTTTCTTTGTTGAGTTCAAATTCCACCATCTGCCATGGCGGGATTCAAACCTGGGTCCCCAGAATATTAGTTGGGTCTCTGGATTAAAAGTCCAGCAATAATACCACTTAAGCCATCAGCTCCCCATAAATAGCTAATAAAAAGCTGTAAAAAAGACCAAATTTTTTTTAATGTTGTAAATGTACCTGCATCCACCACTTCTCCTGGAAGTTCATTCCACACACAAACCACTCTCTCTGTAAAAAAGTTGACCTTCATGTCCTGTTTAAATCTTTCTCCTCTCACCCTAAAAATATAACCCCTACTCTTGAAATGCCCTATCCTGGGGAAAAGACACCTACCATTCATCTTACCTATACCCTCATGATTTTAAAAAACTTCTATATGGTCAGATGACAGGCAGATTCAACCACAAAAACCTCATCTCTCCTGGGAAAATAAATTCACCAGAAAAGGATGTCACCCCACCCTCCCCAAATAAATGTAGGATGGAAGGGAGGAAACGTGAAGAATGTGCTATACTTTGGAAAAATGTTGTGGATTCTGATGTAATCAACACAGTCAATTGTTAAATTTAAGTCTGAGATTGAGATCTAAGTTGTGATCAGTAGGGTTGTAAATGCCTGGTTAAATGCTCCAGCTTTGTGCATGTGTGGGAGAAACATATTAACTGGGACCTCACCCAAATGCAGAAGTTTTTTTTTGAGGTGATGGCTTTGTATGTGTAGAATTGTTAGTTATTTTTTAAAAAATAAAGTTTTGTTAACTTTTGCTTAACTTATCAATATGAATACTGTGGCCAGGAAATTAATTTTTTCCTCATATAATGTGGCTTAACATTTAATGGAGGGTTGACAATTATTGAGGATATCGATGAATTATAAAAATTCTGCTCATGTAAGAGCCCAAGTACTCCATGCATCAAGGCAAATACAGAAGACAATGCTACTACATGACAGTATTACATAATAAATGAATTAATGCAAATGATAAAGTAGCCCCCGAAACTTCCAAAGTAACCCTCAGGAAAATTTCAGGGTGAGCTCTTTAAAAGTAAAATCATTTTGATCCCTGCTCCATGGTCTTAAATCCCATCTTCTATCCATCTTCTGTAAACTCTTCTAGCATTTAGCTCTTCAAGATGTCTGCATTCCTCCCACTCTGGATTTTTGAGTTTCCCTGATTTTCCACTCCTTCAGGTGACCATGTCTGCAGCTGCCTATCTCAAGTTCTGAAATGCTCAAGAAGGAGAATTTATTGCCCTTCCCTGTAGCAGGTGCAGCAACAAGATGGTGGCAGATGTGACCCCTGTCACTTCAGTTATATACCACACTAAAGCTCCCAACTTTTCTCTTCCTCTTAGACACTCCATAAAACCCATCTCTCTATCAATTGGCCATCTCTCTTAGACCGTCTTTATGTGGGATAACAAGGTGTAGAGCCGGATGAATATGCAGGCCAAGCAGCATCAGGGGAGCAGGAAAGCTGACATTTCGGGTCGAGACCCTTCTTCAGAAAAATGTGGCTCAGTTATGTGGCTCAGTTTATTTGTCTGATTACACTCCTTTGAAATGCATTGATATGACTTTTAAAAACACTTTACATAAATGCAAGTTATTGCTGATGAATATTTTCCAAAGAGAGCTCAGTGATCATTCCACAAGCCGAGACCCCGAATTGATCCCAGTTTTGATTTATTTAGTGAGCTTAGCCTGAGCAGTAGGATCACCACAACTAGCTTCAGCAGGAAAGGTAA